AGCCTCCACCATGCTCTGAAGCAGTGAGTTCCCCTGTTGAACAGATCTCCTGACAGTCAGGAAGTTTTTCTTCACGTTTAGCTGGAATCCTGAACACACAACTCCATTGAGTCCTAGTCTCCACATGCTGTGGTTGCAAGAAGGCCTGGAAAGCATAGCCCACATCAGAGTGCAGAACCCATGCACAATAGCACTTTATCCAGATGTTTTGGACTCCAACTCCCACAACGTGGATATGCAGATGATCCCTTGATTGACTGACATGTCAAGTTCAAACACAATTCCTAACAGCCTCAGGCCCTTTCCTTTCCCCCCTCAGCCGCTTAAGGAAAGGAAGAGGCCTGAGGCTGTTAGGAATTGTGGGAGTTGAAGTCCAAAACACCTGGACGGCTGAAGTTTGCTCATGGTACAAATGCCTCATATATGCTCTATCTCCTTCTTTCCAAAGACGAAGTCACAGAATTGTAGCGTTGGAAGAGGCCACAAGGCCCACCCAGTCTGACTACAGATGGAAAGTGCATGTTGTTGTTGTTCATTCGTTCAGTTGTCTCCGACTCTTTGTGACCTCATGGACCAGCCCACGCCAGAGCTCCCTGTTGGCCGTCCCCACCCCCAGGGTCTCCTTCAAGGTCAGTCCAGTCCCTTCAAGGATGCCATCCATCCTCCTTGCCCTTGGTCGGCCCCTCTTCCTTTTGCCTTCCACTTTCCCCAGCATCATTCCTTTCTCCAGGCTTTGCTGTCTCCTCATGATGTGGCATTCAAAGGACTTCCGCTTTCCCTCTAGTGCAAATATGAGGCATTTGTACCACTCTCCATGTTATTACAACCTTTCGGAGAAGTGGCCACATACAAAGTGTCCTCGGGGGATCGATTCCTGGCATCTTTTCCAAAACCACAAGACAACAGATATCAGATGGCTAGAGAAGGCCTTGCGGTGCCCATCACAGTGGGCATGGCCAAACCAGGGGGACGGGTGGACAGGCGCCATATGCTCACGTCCAACAGCTGGTGCTGAATTTGGCATTCTGAATCCTGGAGTTGGGAGAGCGGGTGAGCGACTTAATTCCCTGGGCAAAAAACAGCTTGGAAAGAGGCAGGTGGGAGCGGAGCAGCCATTTCCATGCCAGGGCAAACCAAAACAGGAGAGCGGATGGCCGGAACGCGCAGTGTTTATGATGGCAAGGCCTACCCTTCTCCCTTTAGACCATTCGTCTCTCCTAGAAAGGGATCCTTTTACACTAAAGTGTCAGAAACCATTGCTAATACAAAGCTATGCCTTGAAAAATATCTCCTATCAATACGAGTCCTTCTAAATGACCCATATGTGCATACAAGTATGAACACAAAGAGTCGGCCCATGTTTCCTTACCCCAAAAGGCCTAACTCCATTTCCTCTATACCAGTGGTTCCCCATCTTTTTTGACCAGGGACCACATCAGTACCAAACCTGTTACAAATCAATTTGAGGATGCTTGCCATAGATGCAGGCAAAACATCGGGAGAGAATGCTTCTAGAACATGGCCGTTGAGCCCAAAAAACATACAACAAGCCATGCATTATTGCATCTTATCAAAGCCAGGCAATGACATGGCTTTGGCTAAGTCGAGCTGCCCTGTGAATTACTATTTCTGCCTTCTAGCAATGAGAGTGCTGCTCTTCCTATGTTGCAGCATCCACGGAGCTTTAGGGCGCAACCCGTTGCCATCTCTGGCAAGCCACGGCTGTCCCGCAAAGGCGCACATCTCCCTGTCTCCTGGATAGAGATGGGGCCTGGGTGCCAGGAAGGCGGCGCAAGCGGAGGAAGGCAAGTCGGGCGGGGAAACGGGGGCGTGGGGGGCTTGCTGGTGTGAAGAGGCCCGAGGCGGTGGGAAAAGCCTCCGCAACTCATCTTCAAACGGCAGCGAGCCAGGGCTGGAGAAACCTGCGAAAATTGGCTAAGCCCGCAGTCTTGGTTGCTTGAAGTGGAGCGTCTTCAAAGCCGGCGCTCCCCACTGTAGGGCACAGCAGCTGCCAGAGCAGGTTTGATCCTCTCCGCTTTTGGCAGCTCTCAACTTGAAATTCCAGCAAAAGAAATTTTTCAAGTCGCTATTATTGCCTGTCACGGGTTTATAAATATTGTGCGCCACCACGATGTGTTGTGGCACGGCTCTCTAGGGACACCGGCGCATGCCAAAAGCGGCGCAGGAGAGGAGAAGCAGCTCCTCGCCTTCAAATGAATGCAAATGCCTTGAACGGGGCTCACGCGAGGCTTTTGGTGCGCGGCTTCAGTCGCGCGGCATATCTATCAGAGGGGGGAAAAGGCTGATTGTCTTTTCCAGCAGAATTCAGCTGCTGCTTTCATTAGGCTTGTTTAATTAGATTCCAGATGCTAATTTGCAAGTCGATACCAGAGGGTGCGGGACAGCCTGCCTTTGAATCGCTTCCCTGTGATGTGATGGTCTTGCCGAACACCGCTGCCCTTTCCGAGCGCCATCAAGACTTCCTGACAATTAGCACCGAAAAGCAGGCCCATTCATCTTGACAGGGGGAGAAAATATTAATTTCCCACCCGTTTTAATGACAACAGACCAGAGAATTGGAAAGCGCTCTCTCTGCGGCAGGAAGGAGCATCCGCGGCTGACAAATCCCATACAAGGGGCTTGCAAGGGAGACAGAGGCCTGCCAAAGAGAGGGGGGCTTTCACGGGGGGCAGGGAGTGACCTTTCACACTTGGAGGCCACTGACCCTCTCGGAAATTAGGACCAGAGAACATCCAGCGAAGAGAGAGGATTGTCAAGTTTTCCCTTTCCCCCCTTCAAATTAAAATGCCACCAATCCAAGCAGAAATCATCTATTTTTTACTATCTAGATCTGACATGGGCAAACTTTCTAACTTGGGGGGCCACATGTTAGCACTCCCTGATAGGAGGATAAAAGGAAAGAGAAGGAGGAAGAAAGGAAGGAGAAAAGGGAGGAAGAGAAGGATGGAAGGAGGAAAGGCAGGAAAGACAAAAGGAAAGGAAAAGGAAAGGAAGGAAGGACAAAAGGGTGGAAGGGAAGGAAGGGAGGGAGAGAAGGATGAAAGGGAGGGACGGAGGAAGGAAAAAGAGAAGGAGGGACTTAAGGGAAGGGTTAGGGTTAGGAGAGGGAGGGAGGGAAGGAGGAAGGAAGGAATGAGAAAAGGGAAGGAAGGAAGGATGAAAAGTTGGAAGGGATGGATGGAAGGAAGGGAATGATGAAGGAAGGGAAGGATAAAGGAAAGGAAGAAGGAAGACAAAAGGGAAGGAAGGAAGGAGAAAAGGGATAGAGGGAGGAAAGAGGGAAGGAAGGAAGGATGGAAGGAGAAGGAGGGAAGGAGCAAGGAAGAAGGAAGGAAAGACAAAAGGGAGGAAGGGAAGGATGGAAGGAAGGAGATAAAAAGGTGAGTTGAGTGAGATTGATTGCGATGTAGATGTTAATGGATCCGTATACATCTATCGTAGAATGATGGACTTAGATTGTGCAAGGTTTTGCATGTTTCGTAGATAGCTGTGATTTGCTTGCCTGTTCTGAATTATCGTTATATTCCTAACATTTTCAAGGAAGGAATGAAAAGTTGGAAGTGATAGATGGAAGGAAGGGAAGGGATGAAGAAAGGAAAGGATAAAGGAAAGAGAGAAGGAAGACAAAAGGGAAGGAAGGAGAAAAGGGATAGAGGGAGGAAAGAGGGAAGGAAGGAGAAGGAGGGAAGGAGCAAGGAAGAAGAAGGAAGGAAAGACAAAAGGGAGGGAAGGATGAAAGGGTGGAATTGAAGGATGGGTGGATAGAAGGAGGAAGGAAAGAGAGAAGGAGGGAAGGAGGAAAGGGTGGAAATGAAGGAGAGAGGGAAGGGAGGGAGAGGAGGGAAAGAGGAAAGGCAGGAAAGACAAAAGGGAAGACGGAAGGAAGGAAGAAAAGGGGGAGGGGAAGGAAGGAAGGAAGAATAGAAGGACTAAAGGGAAGGAAGGAGAAAGAGGGAGAGAGGGAAGAAGGGAGGGAACAGGGAAGGAAGGAATGAGAAAAGGGAAGGAAGGAAGGATGAAAGATTGGAAGGGATGGATGGAAGGAAGGGAATGATGAAGGAAGGGAAGGATAAAGGAAAGAGATAAGGAAAGATAAAAGAGAAGGAAGTAAAAAGAGGGAGAGAAGGATGGAAGGAGGAAGGAAAGAGATGGAAGGAAAGACAAAAGGGAGGGAAGGAGGAAAGGGTGGAAGGGAAGGAAGGACGGATGAAAGGAGGAAGGAAAGAGAGGAGAGAAGTGAAGGAAGGAGGGAAGGAGGAAGGAAAGAGAGAATGAAGGAAGGAAAGATAGATGGATAGAAGGACAGACGGACAGATGGATAGATGGCTAGTTAGATCAATGGATGGATGGATGGATGGATGGGATGGATGGATGGAAGGAAGAAGGGAGGGAGGGAAGAAAGAGAGGAGGAGGACAGGGTGGAAGTGAAGGAGAAAGAGGGAAGTAAGGAGGAAGGAAAGAGAGAAGAGAGGGAGGATAGGATGGTGAGGGAGAGGAGAGCCTGAGGAAAGAGCCCAAGGGGCGGCATCTGGCCCCTGGGGCCGGGGTCTGCCCATTCCTAACCTAGACATTAATCAGTTTGGCGTGCATTGCACCTCTCTGTTGGAACATGATACAATTCTTAAAAGATTTTTGCCAAGCAGGAAGAATGGGAAAAGGTTAAGAGTTCTTTCCTCAGCTTTCACTATGTCATCACATTGCGTTCTAAGAGAATGTGTTGATTTCTTCGACTAGGGATGCATTGGGAAGCCATATCTTTGAGGGCAGAGCAAACTGCAAGTCACATCCGGTGCAATATCAGCGACAGGCTTCGTAGCCCATTTTGGGGAGACTCGTTAAGACAAAAACGAAGGAGTGGCTGAGGGGGGAAAGGAAGGGGCCTGCGGCTCTTAGGAATTGTGGGAGTTGGAGTCCAAAACACCTGGAGGGAGGGCTGAAGTTGGCCCGCGCTATCCCATTCATCCAGAGAGAATATTTACCTCCATATCAGGTTTGAACTTGTCCTCAAAGACCGCCATGGCTGCCAAAGAACCGGAACCTGAAACCAGAAGAGAAAAACGCTGTTGAGCTGACGTTTCCGCACCATAATTGCACCTGGACACTTTAGAGCAGTGTTTCTCAACCTGGGGGTCGGGACCCCTGAGGGGGTCGCGAGGGGGTGTCAGAGGGGTCGCCAAAGACCATAAGAAAACACAGTATTTTCTCATGGTCATGGGGATTCCATGTGGGAAGTTTGAGCCAATTCTATCGTTGGGGAGTTCAGAATGCTCTTTGATTGTATGAACTATAAATCCCAGCAACTACAACTCCCAAATGTCAAGATCTATTTTCCCCAAACTCCTAGTGTTCACATTTGGGCATATTGAGTATTTGTGCCAAGTTTGGTCCAGATCCACCATTGCATGAGTCCACAGTGCTCTCTGGATATAGGTGAACTACAACTCCCAAACTCAAGGTCAATGCCCATCAAACCCTTCCAGTGTTTTCCATTGGTCATGGGAGCCAAGTTTGGTTCAAATCCATCACTGGTGGAGTTCAGAATGCTCTTTGATTATAGTGAACTATAAATCCCAGCAACTACAACTCCCAAATTACAAAATCAATCCTCTCCCAACCCCACTAGCATTCACATTTGGGTGTATTGGGTATTTGTGCCCAGTTTGGTCCAGTGAATGAAAATGCATCCTGCATATCAGATATTTACATTATGATTTATAACAGTAGTAAAATGACTGTTATGAAGTAGCAATGAAAACAATATTATGGTTGGGGGTCACCACAACATGGGGGACTGTATTAAGGGGTCACGGCATTAGGAAGGTTGAGAATCACTGCTTTAGAGGAAGAAGGAACGACGAGCAAAAGGGCGACACCGGCACAAGATCTTTTTAAAAGCTGGGCTTTGTTTATGAGGAGGAGATGTGTCACTTGTTGGACCAACAGCAGTGGTGCCTACCTGGTTTCTGAAAGACCACATTGAGAATGAGAGCTGCGGACTCCTTAGTCAGAAATAATAATAATAATAATAATAATAATAATAATAATAATAATACTTTGTTTGTACCCCGCTACCATCTCCCCATGGGACTCGGTGCGGCTTACATGAGGCCAAGCCCAAAATACATCAAACAACATCAATAACACAACATTAATAAACAATCAATAAAATACAAATCATATAAATCGCATAACAAAACAACTATCAATAGCGACATATAAACAATTTTAAGTTCTTGTGGGTTTTTTCGGGCTATATGGCCATGTTCTAGAGGCATTTTCTCCTGACGTTTCACCTGCATCTATCCAACAGACCTCACTACCTCTGAGGATGCTTGCCATAGATGCAGGCGAAACGTCAGGAGAAAATGCCTCTAGAACATGGCCATATAGCCCAAAAAAACCCACAAGAACCTAGTGATTCCAGCCATGAAAGCCTTCGACAATACATTGAACAGTTTTAAAATGGCTGGGCCAAATGTAATAAGTTAAAATTGAAAATATGCTGTCGTGAACAGGTAAAAAATATAACTGGATACGATTTTTCAGAGAGAAACGAGGGAACAACAATCCATCCTAAGTCAGTATTAAAGTGCATTATGGGGGCATATTGTTGAGAGTTCTCCTCTTCTGGGAAGGCACACTGAAACAACCACGTTTTCAGGCTCTTCCTAAAGACTGCCAACGTTGGGGCATGTCTAATGTCCCTGAGAAGTGAGTTCCAGAGTCGAGGGGCCACCACCGAGAAGGCCCTCTCCTTCGTCCCCACTACGAGGGAGGTGGGAGCGTGAGCAGGGCCTCTCCAGATGATCAAAGGGATCGTGTGGATTTGTACACAGAAATGCGGTCACGTAGAAACACACACATAACCATGTTTTTTCGTGAGAAACTGCAAGTCGCTTCTGGTGTGAGAGAATTGGTCGTCTGCAAGGACGTTGCCCGGATGTTTGATGTTTTACCATCCTTGTGGGAGGCTTCTCTCATATCCCCGCCTTTTCTTTCACCAGGTAGAATCCACAGAGTGGCTCAACTCACTATTCCTTGTGTGGAAGGTATCGGGTTTTCCGTGGAACCCACTCCCACCACACCGCCAATCCCGTTTGAAACTGAGAGGGCTTTCAAGACCTCACTACGATATGGCTTTGAGGGAAGAGGGCAGGGGTCTGCCGTTCAAAGCAAGCGAATGAGGGTCCCGCTGGGCCCAAGCAAGCCCAGGGGAGCGTCCACAGCAGCCCTTTGAATCCGGCCGATGTTTCTACCGGGGTCAGCGATTGCAGAGAAGCTGCTTTATGCACGATTCTATTCAGCCGCCGTTGCCCAAAGGCCTTGAGATGAGGCAAACTACTGCTTTAAACACATTTATATCAGTGGGAAAACCAGGCTGCTTTAATAAGGGGGTTTGGTCAAATCGTCGAGGAAAGTGACTTACCGTATATACTCAAGTTTTAGCCGAGGTTTTCAGCCTCTTTTTAAGGACGAAAAAGCCCCCCTCGGCTTATACTCGAGTCAAAGTTGTTTATTATTTTACTCTGTTGTTGTTTTTGTTTTTATCATCATTATCATTACATTTATTATTTTACTCTATTTATTATTATTATGACATTTATATTATTTCACTCTATTATTTTATTACATTTATTATTTTACTCTATTTTTATTATTCATTATTTTACTCTTATTTATTATTATTACACTAGCTGTACCCGCCACTTTGCTGTGGCCAACCTTCCCTCTTTCTCTCTGTCTCTCTCCTTCCTTCACATCTTTCCTTCTCTTCTTCTTTCCTTCTCTATCTCTTTCTTTCTCTTCTGCTGTCTCGCTTTTCTTCCTTCTCTTTCCTTCCCTCCCTCTTTTTCTACATCTTCTCCCCTTCCTTCGCTCCCTTTCCTTCCTTCTATCCCTTTTTTCTTTCCTTCTCTCTGTCCTTCCTTCTCTAACTTTCCTTCCTTCGCCCTTTTTCTTTCCCTCCTTCTTTCTCTCCTTTCTTCCTTCTCTCTTTCCTTCCATCCCTCTTTTTCTACATCTTCTCCCCTTCCTTCGCTCCCTCTTTCCTTCCTTCTATCCCTTTTTTCTTTCCTTCTCTCTGTCCTTCCTTCTCTAACTTTCCTTCCTTCGCCCTTTTTCTTTCCCTCCTTCTTTCTCTCCTTTCTTCCTTCTCTCTTTCCTTCCATCCCTCTTTTTCTACATCTTCTCCTTCCTTCGCTCCCTCTTTCCTTCCTTCTATCCCTTTTTTCTTTCCTTCTCTCTGTCCTTCCTTCTCTAACTTTCCTTCCTTCGCCCTTTTTCTTTCCCTCCTTCTTTCTCTCCTTTCTTCCTTCTCTCTTTCCTTCCATCCCTCTTTTTCTACATCTTCTCCCCTTCCTTCGCTCCCTCTTTCCTTCCTTCTATCCCTTTTTTCTTTCCTTCTCTCTGTCCTTCCTTCTCTAACTTTCCTTCCTTCGCCCTTTTTCTTTCCCTCCTTCTTTCTCTCCTTTCTTCCTTCTCTCTTTCCTTCACTACCTCTTTTTCTACATCTTCCCCCTTCCTTTGGTCCCTCTTTCCTTCCTTCTTTCCCTTTTTTCTTTCCTTCTCTCCTTCCTTCCTTCTCTAACTTTCCCTCCTTCCCCCTTTTTCTTTCTCTTCTGCTGTCTCTCTTTTCTTCCTTCTCTTTCCTTCTTTCCTTCCCTCACTCTTTCTCTATATCTTCCCCTTCCTTCGCTCCCCCTTTCCTTCCTTCTTTCCCTTTTTTCTTTCCTTCTCTCCTTCCTTCCTTCTCTAACTTTCCTTCCTTCCCTTTTTCTTTCCCTCCCTCTTTCTCTTCCTTCTTTCTTCTTCTTTCTCTTCCTTCCTTCCTTCTCTACTTTCCTTCCTTCCCCCTTTCCCCCCTCTTTCTCGTCTTTCTTCCTTCTCTGCCCCTTTCCTTCCTTCCTTCTCTCTTTGCTTCCATACTTCTTTCTCCCTTTCCTTCTTTCTTTCTTTCTTTCCCTCCCTCTTTTCTTTTCTTTCTTTCTTTTTTTTCTCCCCTTCCCTCCCTCTTTCTTCCCTTTTTTCTGTATTGTCATTCACCTTTTCGTCATTTAGCTTTTGGGGGCTTTTTAAGTCCCTTCCGCTGTGTTTTTATGAGTGAAGGACGTACATTGGGTTGTTGGGTGCCTTGTGTCCAAATTTGGTGTCCATTCCCCCAGCGGTTTTTGAGCTCTGTTAATCCCACAAACAAACATCACATTTTTATTTATATAGATTTATTACTTTATTATTATTGTTATTACATGTATTATTTTACTCTCTTTATTATTATTGGATGGACGTGTAAGCACATTTATATTGTAGGAGGTTAGAATAATGGTTTAATCAGAGTTCTAAAATTACAGTTTTATGTAAATATACAAATACAATGAACCTCCTGATGCCTCAATTAATGCAATTTGATTGGGATCTATTTTTATTTTGAAATTGACCAGGAGCTGCTGCATTTCCCACCCTTGGCTTCTACTCGAGTCAATACGGTTTCCCAGTTTTTTGTGCTAAAATGAGGTGCCTTGGTTTATACTCGGGGTGGGCTTATACTCGAGTATATACGGTAAGTCATGCTGCGCTTCGAAACTAGCTCATTACACTGCACTGAATACTGCAAAAGAAACGTAATTAATAGGGTTGTTGTAGGTTTTTTTGGGATATATGGCCATGGTCTAGAGGCATTCTCTCCTGACGTTTCGCCTGCATCTATGGCAAGCATCCTCTGAGGATGCTTGCCATAGATGCAGGCAAAACGTCAGGAGAGAATGCCTCTTGTTTGATCATTTTTATTGATTTTTCAACACAGGTTTACAATTAAAAAAGAAAAACATAGAATCACTTCAGAAAGAAATAATTTTTTTTACATACATACAGCCCCCAACCTACACCCTATAGTGACCTCCATTCTTCTTACTTCACCGTTACTTTATATTCTTTCCTTTCTCTTCCTTTCCATTCTCCTATCTAATTTTCCATTTATAATTTAAGAAAAAGGGTTATATATATTGTTTCTATCTCTCTTATTTTACATTAACTTAGCCAGTC